AAAGGCTCTATTTCACCTAAGAAATACACATCTTTCATCATAGTTAAAAACTAAAAAACTAAAATAGCAAAAATATATGCTACTTGTAGTACCAAAACATTCTCAGTCTTATATATGGTGTGAGGTAAGGGTAAAGTTATTTTCTTTTAACTTCAAGATGTTAAGTAATGTGAGATCAGTGTCCTTTGAAATAAATAGAAACCTGAGATATTTAGTACATAGACATCATGTTAAGATGACCTCAGGAAGGCAATCTTTGGAATGTGGATTAACTTGCATGGAGAAGGCCAGGTATATCTGTTACCAAAATAAACACTGCTTAAGCAGCAGCAAACATGGAAGAGAGATCAAAGAAGTGGGCTCTCTCCTCACCCCCTCCCTCCATTTTCCTCCACCTCTACCTTCTTGCTGGAGGTCTGTATGGTAAAGTAAACCAAGCAAACACTTTTGAGGACATAGCATGTCCATCTGTCACATGGTGTCTAAGTATCAGGGCTACAATTGCTATTGATAGATCTACTCAGTTCCCTGAAGCTTCAAAGCTTGGCTGATGATCCTAATGGAAAGTTCTTTCTTAGCTTTGACAACACTGATCACATTGTTGAAGCATCTCCTCACTGGGGCCTTATTTGTCAAACTCTCTTTACCCAGCCCTGACACTGTCTTCCCAGACAGAACAGGAACTAACAGACTAACTGCTCCCACACCTAAGCTCTCTAGAAAGTCCTGGGGTGGATGAGTCACTGTCCATAGGACCTGGCTGTCTTTGTTTTATATAATTTTTTTCTAAGTACAATAATAAGAACAGGTAATAAAAACATGGTATATTCTCAGCAATACACTCCCATTACTAAATAAATGTCCATATACATTGCCAACAGGTAGCAGGGAATTTTAAATTTTGGGTGTCAAAGACCTCCTTAGAAGTCAGAGGATTTGGAAAAGCTTGAAAAATATAAGCCTTTAAAAATGTATGAACACACACACACACACACACACACACACACACACACACACACACACTTTTGGTTAAAATTCCAGAAAGCTAACAGGTAACTTGAGTCGATTCAGAGTCAGCCTGTCTGGTTTAAAGTCTGTTTTCATTGCCATCAAGCTGTCTAGAACAAACTACATGAGTTACAAATTATTTAAACTTCCAAACTTCATTTTCCTCAACTTCAAAATGAGAATTGCAAATAGTGCTTACGGAATGGAGTCATCACAAAGAATAAGGGAGATAAAACACATGAACATATTAGCACTCTGTTATTTGTAAAACATTAAATACTTCTTTAAAAATATTTTTGCTGTTGCCTGGTGCCAGTGGCTCACACCCGTAATCCTAGGAGACTGCGATCTAAAGATCACTGTTCAAAGCCAGTCTAGGCAAGAAAGTCTATGAGACTCTTATCTTCCAGAAAACCTGAAAGTGGAGTTTTGGCTCAAGTGATAGAGCACTAGTTTGGAGCAAAAAAAGCTAAGAGAACATGCACAGGCCCTGAGTTCAAGCCTTAGGATTGGTACGTGTGTGCACACGCGCACACACGCACACACATACACATAAATACACACACACACACACACTTCTATTATTTTGAGTTACAGATCCACAAGCTTATTTGTGGACAGCAGATTAAGAATTTCTGCTATAAAGTGAGGATCCAGTTCAAATCAATTAAAGATAATCTGCTTACCATAAAAACAAGATCCTATTGAAGCTAAATAATTATCCATAAAGGGGCATTCAACCACTAGGTCTGCTACTCTGAGCAAACAGGACAGTAGGTTGTGATACATCGCCATTCTTTCTAAGGAGGGACAATTGCATTGCTTCCTGCACCGGCCTGTACCAGCCCCAGTGAAAAACTTGGCAGCCATGGTTGCTGTTCATGTTTAACTGAAAAGGAAAAACAATTTTTTTGGCTGCCTGAACCTTATAAGACTATTTCCACGTTGCTGACATATTCTTTACAGAGTTCTAGGTATAAGAAAGCGCTGTTACAGATTTTAATGAGAGAATGGTTTGTTCAGTGCCTAGCTTCGGGGCTGACACAAAAAGCTCTCAATAAAAGCTGTCTCCTTCTATGGCTCAGAAGGGAGGGTAACAGAGCTTGACAAAGTCACACTTCTGGGAGGAATTCCACTGAAGCTCAGGGAACTGCCTGAGTCATGTGGTTTAACTAAACATGATGTGAAATAAGAAGCCCTTAGAGAGAGCTTTACTTTGAGAGGTAAGACACAGAGATTTTTCTCTTAAAGACATTTGAATTTTAAGATAGCCTATTTTAGTCATGGCAGCTTCTTTAGCCAAATCAGTACCTTCTGCAATGACTGGACTATCTAGAAGCCAGTAATTTCGAATATATTCATCTTTTTTGGGTGTGCATATGTGCCAGTACTAGGACTTCAACTCAGGGCCTAAAATATATCCTTAGTTACTGGCACTCTACCACTTGACCCCCATCTCCACTGCCAGATTTTTGTTGGTTAATTGGAGAAAGTCTCATAGACTTTCTTGCTCAGATCTCAGCCTCCTGAGGAGCTAGCATTACAAGTGTGGGTCACTAGTGCCTGGCTAGATATATTAATCTTCAGGAGACCTGTAAACACCAACTAGACAGTGCCTATGGTGTTGTTTTGCTTCAGAAATATTGTCACAGAAAACATCTAAGTGATTTTAATAAATTCATGTTTATATTCCCAATGTTTATTACAATTCTGATACCAACTATAGAAACTCAATTACCATTTACTAGATGAATTTTCTATGTAAGGACTTCAATATCTACTTTAAAGATCACATTGGGACTATGGTCATGTGGTCACTCAGTCCTGCTCTAACTCTCTCTTCTGTTTCATCTCTTGGTGCTGGTCCTGAGGCTTGAACTTAGGGCCTAGGCACTGTCCCTAAACTTTTGTGCTCAAAGCTAGTACTTTACTTCTGAGCCATAGCCCAGAGCTGAGCTGAGAACTGAACTCAGGGCCTTTGCCTGGCAAGTGTTCTTCCAATGAGTCAAATCCATGACTCTAGCATCTCTCTTTCTTAATACAAATATTATTGCTGCAAGCCTGGTAAGGAGGATTCTATTATGCAAATACCTGATAAAGCTGTTACAGGTACAGGTCTATTACAGTGGCCTGAAGAACCTCATACTTGCTAGTGTATTCTCTGATCAGATGGGAAGCAGTGTCCCTGTTTTATTCTTAAAGTGTCTTTGATGCTTTCTGAATGGACTTTACCAAATATTCTGAATAATGTCTAATACTTTTGATGTCGATTCAGTTTCAACTCAATGGTATGGGGTGGGAGTAAAAGAAAAATACAGGGGAGATAAATAATCCATCAATGATGCAAATCATTTAAAACCATACATTTACATTTCTCAATGAGGAATGAAGATGTGCTATGATCTCCAAATGACCACTGTTATAAATATGCTCTCCAAGAACCACTGAGTCACAATGATGCACATGAGAATAAAGAATCACCTCAACAAGGCAAAGTGGACTTCTGCAGAAGGCTGCATCATCGATCAGAAATCTGGCAACCAAGCACATAGATCAGGTAGGCTGCTTCCCTATATATCCCTATCACAGCAGGCCCTGCCTCTTTGCTCAGACTGGCTGAACACAGGTTCACAATCTGCTCATGATTGGCTAACCTGAATAGGGTAAAATCTGTATAAGGTGACTTTGAAATAAAATTAACAGTATACAAGTAATCTCAAAAGATACCCACACCCTCTGCCATTTCTCCTGTCTTAATTCTATCTTGAAAAGAAATCCGTTTAAAATAAAAATCTTACATTTCAAAAATCCTTCCTTATCCCAAAGCATTTCCTCCTTTCCCTAAAAGAGCCAACCCACGAGGCCAAGGCTGGGACTTTTAAGCAATATACTATGACAGAAAAGATAGTTTTTCTCATACCACCAACTAAAAGCTGGCTGTAGAGCTGCGGTTAAGGTGACAGGGTTCCAGTCTTCAGCAAAAAGCTAAGGGGCAGGGCACAAGCCCTGAGTTCATGCCTCATAATCAATACAAAAAAAAATTAAGGCCTAAGTGATCAACCAATGATATACATTAAATTTTCTTTTAAGGCCAAATATCAGGAAAGAGAAAGTCTTCAAATGAAAAAAGGGTAAATCATTTTATACACAAAATTAATTTCTAGGGGCTGGGAAGGTGGCTCAGTGGTAGAGTGCTTGCCTTGCATGCATGAGGCCCTGGGTTCGATTCCTCAGCACCACATAAGCAAAAAGAAAAAAAGCCGGAAGTGGCACTGTGGCTCAAGTGGTAGAGTGCTAGCCTTGAGCTGAAGAGCTGAGGGACAGTACCCAGGCCCAGAGCTCAGGCCCCATGACCAGACCTCCCAAAACAAAACAAAACAAACAAACAATTAATTTCTATGCTACCATGAAAGTATCAAAATTTTCTAGAGTCCTATATGATGTGGGAAAATGTTTATTAAGAATGCTGTTTCAGGGCTGGGCCCCAGTGGCTCACGCCTGTAATCCTAGCTGCTCAGAAGGCTGAGATCTGACGATCATGGTTCAAAGCCAGCCTGGGCAGGAAAGGCCGTAAGACTCTTATCTCTAATAAACCACTAGAAAACTAGAAGTGGTTCTGTGGCTCAAGTGGTAGAGTGCTAGCCTTGAACTGAAGAGCTGAGGGACAGCGCCTAGGCCCAAACAAACAAACAAATGCTGTCAGAAGTACATGTGCCTGTAATTCCAGCTGCTCTGAAGGCAGAATAAGGAGAAACTCAAATCCCAAGTCTATCCTGCAAAAGACAGCAAAAGCCGCCTCAAAAATGAAAACAAAAGGTCTTACTACATGGTTGAAATACTTGAGCAGTTGCCTAGCATTTGTGAGGCCATAGATTCAAAATCTAGTACTACAAAAAAATTTAAATCCACAATGGAGAATGAAAATAATACATATGGTGCCTTCATTCCTCTGGCATTACAATAGTGGGCCAATTACATGGTCCCTCAATTAGTATGGTTCAACAGAAGAGTTTTCACATTGACAGTGGCTAAAAGGCATATTCATAGTGCTTTTTACTTTCACTAGATGATTCAGCAAATTGCATGAAATACTGTACCCTTTACTAATATAAAGTAGGCTATACATTAGATGATTTTGTCCAATCTAGACTAATAATATGAGTGTTACAAGCACATTTACTGTAAGATAAACCTAAGCTATGATATTTGGGAGCTTGTATGCATGTATTGTCTTTTCAAATGGTATTTTCAACTTACAATGGGTTTATTGAGATACAACAGTTTTAAAATGGAGGTAAATTTGTATATGGCAATAATAATGCTTGAAATATTCAACATCTGTGATCCAATATTGTCAGATCCCTATTGATAGACAAACATGTTACTTATTTGCCTATCTAAATAATTGGGATGTATGTGTAATGTATAAAGCATATACATCTGCTTTATATATATTATAACTGCTTATGTATTATATGTGCTTTTATATATAATATATGCTTTTATGTATGTGGGAAATAAACTAACATGTTTAATGATGTCTATCTCTAGATACCAGATTATTTATAGTTTCTAATAGGCACTTTTCTAGAATTTCTAATTTTTCTACAATGAGCAAGTGTTTGTTTTGCAGTGAGAAAAACATGTGCTGTTACAGAATAATTCGGTGTGAAACTCTTTTTGGAAATATATTTAGGATGCAGAGTGCAGCCTGCCTGCAATAAGCTCTTTGCTGACAAAGAACCCTCTGAATCAGCCTCCCAGCGCTCCCACTGACGGTAAATTTGGTGATAATTGTGCTGTCAGGACCTCCAGCTCTTAACTCCACAATTATGAGCTTGGTACACAAGGACATGTTGGAAATGGGAGGCAAAGTCAGCTTCCTCCAAAATAATGGTCAAAGCAAATGTGTGCTTCTGCCCAAAAAGGAAAGTAACGTGGCTGTAACTGGATATTGTAAATAAGTGGTCAGAGAATCCCTAAATAAGCAATATCAAATAAGCCTCCTTGTGGTGTATTTTTTTTTTTTCCATCTGGGATCCGTGTCAGGCTCACAGACATGAAGGCTGCCAGGAAACTGTTATCTGTTTACCTCTAATTTATATTTATAACTCTACAGGCTAGTGATGGGAGAAAATGTTTCTTTAAGAGAAAAAATAAAAACTGGTAATGAACACTCTTGAGTTGGTTTTTTTTTAACCTTGCTGAATAAAAACTTCTACTCATTATGTAGTTAGAAAACCTCACTTCATGGAAACTTCACTTTTAATTGCCTGTATGTTTGTATTGGAATCCTCTAATTCTGACTCTGCCTTTGGGTAGATGTCTTCACCTAGGCAGAGTTAGGCCACATAGCTCTCTGAAGTCATAGGAGAAATGGTAAACCCAATACGGAGCAGTTTGGGGTATATTATAAGCATTGGATAAAAGTCAATTTGATTCATTTTTTCCTTCCTGCAATATGAGTAAGAAGATATCAAGTATCACAAAATTATTTCAAGTAATACCGGAATATAGTCCCAAAAGTGTGTATGTGTGTTTGTGATGAAGCATTATGTGTGTGAGTTGTTTGATATTTTTAAGGCTGAAATAGTAACTGGTATGTGCTTGAGCAGTAACAAAACCTTTGGAAATCTTTTATCATCTTGGGATTGTATTCAAGTGAACATGCTCACCAGTCAAAGTGAAGACAATGCATTTCTTTTGGAGACTCAGCTTTGTTTCAGTAACATAGTCACATCTATTCAGAAAGAAACTGATACTGTTTCTTTTACCACACCAAGGAAAACCTCTGAAAAGGTTCTTGAAAGCCAATGGTAACCAGCATCTTTCAACCTCTGTTTGGCTTTAATATAGATTCTGTGTATGGCTGGATTATGAATTAAAAAGTGAGTTAGACATTACAGATAGTATTTTAAAACAAAAAAGAACACAGAACAATATGGGCAATTGTGTACTCCTTATTCTAATAATAAGCCATAAAGGAACAAAAAATAGACAATTCTATTAAGCCTCTGATCTCATTAAATAACCAAAACAAATTTCTTAACTTTAATCAAAAGCAACTCTGATCTCAACAAATCTGATCTAAAAGCTAACACCACACGGGGACTAGATTAACCTTAGGTGATATTTTTACCCCCCTAGAAGTTCCATAATCTTTATGTAGCTCTTCTTAGTATTTACAAAAGGGGGGAGGGGAGCCAAGTATGAAAATCTTCTGCATGGTTTTCCTTGCTGAAAAGAAGTCTGCAGCACCCTGAATGTCAATATATTAATAAAAAGAGAACACCCAGTCAACTTATTAAACAACTTGGAATTATGGTCCTTTTTGTAGTTCCAGATGCTGATCTCCATCAAGATAACATGAGATTGTTTTATTGCTTTGTCAGAACTCTAAATCTAAATATTTGCAATAGTCATGTAAATACTCTACCACCATGTAAATATGTATATGTATATGCACATACGTGGATGCTACAACATAATCTGATTTGGGTTTATGGAAGCTGTTATAGTTACAAACCATGCATTTGTGTCACACATTGTGTCAGTAAACTTCCCTCCCCAATACATCTGTGTACTATTATGATATGACTTCTTCAATGATGTCATAATGTTAATTTCATTTGATCATAACAAGAACCACAGTCTCATTGAAATAAAATGTGTCTGCCATGAGACTAAGTTAGTGACTGTGAAGGCTGCTGATTTGTAGGAAGATTTATTCTCCAACCATGTTAGCGGAAGTAATCAGTGACATATGTCATCGATGCTTGTTAAATTATGAAATGTTCTTCCTTTAAAGGGCACACAGTAAAGTTGTAGTTTTTAGAAGTTTGTATTTTCAGTGTTTGTAGGCACTCTTTAATAAGCAAGAAACGTGTGTTTACTGCACAAAACTAAGAACTAGGAGGCTCTGCCCACATTCACTCAAAGCCTTTAAGGTCCACTTTACACCTCATTCTCTCTCTATCTCTCTGTGTCTCTTTCTGTCCCTGTCCCTCTCCCTCTTACTCTTTCTTTGTCAACTTCAATTTTCCAGAGTCTCAGCACCAAATGTATCACCAAAAGTGGAGTTAAACAATTGCTAAGTGCATAGGACCATATATAATAAGCATATCAAAATGAACTCCAAGAATTGGAAACAAGAGGTTCTTATTATATCCTGTATGCAGTTATTTCTATTTTTTTTCTGTTTTAGTTATCTGTACCCTTTGTCTTGTATATAAGCTTATCTGATCCATGGAAGGGAAAGGGAATCACAGAAAGAGCAGGACAAAGGATGAACAAATGCAACAATGATAATCACTTGTCTCTATGTTTGAACTATACAACTTGTGGGGAGAGAAGGAGGGGTAAATGGGATAAAATGAGGAGGAGGTAACGGTGTTTAAAAAGAAATGCATTCATTACATTCCTTATGTAACTGTAACACCCCTGTTCATCTTTACAATAAAGATATATACATATGTGTGTGTGTGTGTGTGTGTGTGTGTGTGTGTGTGTGTGTGTGTTAGGATGGGGTTAAGATGGGACATTTGACTGGATAAAATCCAAAAGTTAGGCTGGGAATGTGGCTTAGTGGTAGAGTGCTTGCCTAGCATGCAGGTAGCCCTGGGTTCAATTCCTCAATACCACATAAACTGGAAGTAGTGCTGTGGCTCAAGTGGTAGAGTGCTAGCCTTGAGCAAAAGAAGCTCAGGGACAGTGCCCAGGCCCTGAGATCAAGTCCCAGGACTAGCTCACAAAAAAAATCCAAAAGTGTTTTTTTTTTTTTTTTTGTCGGTCATGGGGCTTGAACTCTGGTCCTGAGCGCTGTTCCTCAGCTCTTCAGCTCAAGGTGAGCACTCTACCACTTGAGCCACATGCCACTTCTGGTTTTCTAGTGGTTTATTGGAGATAATAGTCTCACCAACTTTCTTGCCCTGGCTGGCTTTGAACCATGATCCTTAGATCTCAGCCTCCTGAGTAGCCAAGATTACAGGCTTCAAAAGTTTTAAAAAATATATTAATTTCTTTTGGAGGTACTGGGGTTTGAACTCAGAGTCTCACGCTCATTAGGCAGATACTCTATCACTAAGCCATGACACCAGCCCATTACTGCTTTAGTTTGTTGCTGTTTCATAGGGGTTCACATTTTTGCTGGGTCTTACCTCAGCTATGGTCTGCTGAGCTATGATCCCCTGTAGCTGGGGTTACAGACACATGCCACAATGCCAGCTGTTGATTGAGATGGGGGGGTCTCATTAACTTTTTACCAAGCTCGTCTTGAACTTTGATCCTATCTCCACCTACCAAATAACTAGAATTACAGGTACTTGACACACACCTGACACAAGAGCTTTTTAGAATGATAAAATTTGAGGTGTGCATGTCGACTGGAAGAGTTAAACAAAAATAGAATGCAGGCTTAAGATGTTATTGATTAAAGATCCCATTGGTTATATAGTAAGCATTTCCTTAAAGAGAACAACCACTGGATGACCAGCTGGAATAGCCACAATTTCTACACCCAACTCTCCTTTCCAGTGTCATCCCTTATACTTCTCCTGCTCCTCTGGCTTCTCTGTGGCCTCTAGAAACTATCATGTCTTTAAGCAGGAGCAAATTTAGAAGCCCAGCGTTATCTCACTGGATCACATTCACCTTGAACATAGTTCTATCTCTGATGACTGGCACCTGCTTTAATACTTGGTGCCTGCCTGTCTCCCCGAGATTCCAGTTTATGTAGAGGAGAGTTCTTTCCATCCCAGAGCCACATGCTGGGGTACAGACATTTCTGTGCCACATGATCCAAATCAAGGATGCAAATCCTCCCCTCCCTCTACTTTGTGTGTGTGTGGGGTGGGGGGAGTTAGGGGGAGCAGGTGCTAGTGAATTCTAGGGATTGAACTCAGGACTCTGTGCTCTTCCTTGGCTTCTCAGCTCAAGGTTGGTGCTCTACCAATTGTACCACAAGTTCAGTTTGACTTTTTGCTTGGTAACTGAAAATAAGATTCTCATGGACCATTTTGGACAGGCTAACTTAGAACCACAATTCTCAGAAAGTTGTCTCTTAAGAACCTGGGATTACAGGTATGAGCCAGCAGCACTGAGCTGCCAATATTAATGGACAACATATTTCTACAGGTTAAAAAAGTGGATAATCCTCACATAAATACACCTATATATGTATAAATATGTATATATACATTAGATATACACATATACACATGTAGATATATGTATACATAAATATCTATATATTTATATGTCTCTAAATATATATATACATGTATGTAAACATGTATATATCTATATATATACAAAATGTTTATATAAATATAATTTGTTTAATAAGCTATAGTATATTTTTGTATTACTAGTATTACTAGGCTAAAACATTATCTGTTTTGTAAAACAAACTGAAAAGTAAAATTTGAAAAGTCAAGAAAAAATGTAATTGTTTCACACCCAGCAGACCCCAATAAATTATCTTGCTCAATATTAGCAATGTTCTAAGCATGCCTTTCCCTGGGCTGCTTGTTAGATGAGAACTGTATATCAGAAGTAGTTTCACTTGACCTAACCTTCATGGAAATGTTTTTGAAATACATATGAATAGTCTTCCAACAATTATTTTACTAAGAAAGTAATCAGAGATAAGCCAAAGTTTCATGTCACATTAGGTCAAGTTAAAGATATTTCATGATTGCAATCATGACAAAAAATTTTAAGTATATAAAGTTAAATACCGGGCTACATTTCCAACAAAAAGGCAAATGCTTAATTTATGAGGTATTTTCAGGATGAGATATTTTGCATGGTACACAAGCTATGCATCAAGTAATATTAAATGAGACAGGGAAATGTCTGAGCACATGCTAAGTCTTACTTTTGTGTGTGTGTGCAGGTACTGGAGCTTGACTCAGTGCCTTATCGTCTGGCTTTTTGGCTCAAGGCTGGAACTCTACCACTCGAGCCACTCTTCTACTTCTAGAAATTTACTGATTCATTGGAAGCAAAAGTCTCTCAAATTTGTCTGCCTGGGCTGGTTTTGAACTCAGATCCTCAGACCTTAGGATTAGAGGAGTGATCAAAGTACCAGCTCTAAACTTGTATATACTAGTGAACACACATATGTAGGCATAAAATATTCTGCAGCAGTTTTTATAAGATGGTACCCAGCTTTCCTTTCTGTATTTTTTAAAGAACCTAGAATATACCCAACCTATTTTTATAATAATATCTGGGAGTTATTGTGCCTTAATTGTAAATGTTTTGCAGTTTATTTGACAATTTTAAGATTATATTTTCCTATTTGACTAAAATATAAGGGAATCCTCAGCAACAGAATGTAGTTAAAATCCGTGTGATACTTATATTTTTATGTTTGACTAGATACAAACCACAACTGTGCTGCTTCTTATTTTTTTTTCAAGTCAGATGTGTTCACATTCTAACAAGGTTTGAGGGAGACACATGTCACACAAGCATGTGACAATGCAATCATCATGTTTATGAACATGAAAAGGATCTGCTGCTCCTTATTGAGAATGGTTTCCTAAGGCAGATTGTCCCAGAGCCAGTATGTGGAGGGTCTGAGGAAAAGCATGGCTCCCCGCCCTGCATACAGGTGATCCAATCTTAGCAATCCTCAGCCGGACAAAACAACTGTCACTCTTGTCCTCTGTCTGGACACCTTGTCGACCTCATTCTGTCCTAACTGAAGAATGAATCAGTATCATTACTCGTATTGCCTCTTTCAGATGAAGTCATAGTACAGAAGGGACTGAATAAAATCTAGAAATAGAGAAATACCCAGTGATACCCTTGCTGTTTCCTTCTTCACTGAGCTCCTGTCCGCCCCAGCATAACAATGTACACAGTGCAGACTCACCCCACCCAGCCCAGGCATGGTCCTTCGCAATTACAATGAGATCATAATCGCCAGTCAAGTCACATCCTTCAATCATGTTATACATAAAAATGTCAAAGATGCTTGGCTTTTTTTTTTTTTTTTTGGATGAGGGACTGAACCAGGCAAACGTGAGGTTGTTAAAACACAAAATTCTTTGTTAGCTTGGTTGACATTTGACAAATGAATTACTAGCTGCTTCATGGCAGCAAAATCTGTATTTAAAAAATGCTCAAATCAGTCTTTCCATCCAGAAATAATGGTCCAGGCTAAAGGGAAAATATATCCTGGTTTGCAAAGCATACCTTTTATGATGTAAGGTATCTCCATATTGAGGTGAAATGAGATAAAATAGTGCTTCTCTTTATTCACAACCAACTCTGTACATGAACTTGTGTGTGTGTGTGTTGGTTTTTTTGATTTGTGGTAGTAATTGGGGGCTTGAACTCAGGGTCTCACACTCTTGGTTGGCTTTTTACTCTAGACTAAAGCCCTACAACTTCAACCCCACCTCTACAGCCAGAATTTTGCTACTTACTTGGGGGAAAATGTCTCTTGGATTTGTCTCCTTGGACTATTTTGACCCATAATCCAATATCTCAACCTCCTGGGTAGATGCAATTACAGAAATGAGCCACCAGCACCCTGCTTGTACATGAATGCTTTAAGAAACAATTGTTACAAGCAAGTTAATTGGATGTATTATATGTTCTGGAGCATCTTACTGACTTCATAAACTGTCACCTTCCAGCTGCACAGTCCTATCTACACCATACTTCTCAAGCGATATCTAGATGAGGAAATAAAATTTCTCCATCCACCATTTTATTCCTCTAAAAAATGACAAGTATAGTCTTTTAAATTCCTGATAAAACCAAATGGTTTTAGGTTATTCTTAAAGATTTAAGGTTTTTATATTCTTTCCTTTTTGATGTATTTTAAACTAAATCTCATATTGATGGCTGACATCCTATTTGTTTTCATTTTATAGGAAGATTAAATGAACTGGTTATGTTATTTTTCAAAATCAGATTTGGTTAATGTATCTGAAAAGCAACAACAACAGCTTGAAACTTAAACCTTAAAAGGAAAAGTGAAATATTCTTCCTCTAACTGGAGATTATTTTCTCAAGTGATTCCACAGAAAGCATCAGTCACTAAGGTGAGGGGTCATAGGAGGATTTGATTCTGAATACTCCCTGAATGAATGAATGGCTACAGAGTGAACACAGCAACAAAGCAATGGAAACTTGGCTCTTCTCTGTCCTTTAATAAGGCAAGGAAATCTAGCCAGAGGCAGAAAGTGGAATCCATTAGTGCATATCTTACAGATTTTGTCTTATATAGTAAAAACGAAAGTAAAACAAATGCTTGTCCAGCACAGATAAGATCAAACTCAAAGCCTTTTCAGAGCTACTTGAGGATAGTCTATTGAAAGTCCCCAACACACAATAGTTGGAGGATGAATGAGAAATGAAGGTCTTCAGACAGCCGCTCTGTTCCTCCCTACTGGCACCCTTCATGTCTAGTTCACACTGTGTCCTTTTTTTTCCTCAATTATGGGGTGTACCTGGCTGTTCCTCCTTGTATATTCTTTTTCCTTTTTTTTGTTTCTTGACCTTTGATGTGGGTTGATTTGAGTGCAACATTTAAAACATTTTAAAGGAAGAACTAAACAATGTCTGGTTTTAAAATGATACCTTGGCTCTTAAAGATAGGAAATCAGTCATTAAATATGTTCCCTAACAACTGAAAATGACGTCAGTCTGGGTTGATGGCAACAAGAAGGGTAGAGTAGCGCCAAGCACCACACACTGCAGGGTGATTGAAAGAAGTACAGGTTAAAAAGCCCTTGGCCTGACCAATCAACCAGAGGAGGCCAGTGAAATGTATTTCTTCTTTTTCACATGAATCAGTCATAGTTCAGCTGAAAAATTAACCAGTGTACATAGAAGAAATCCCCCAGATCCACATAGTGAGTGAGTGACTGGTTCTCTTCCACCTTGGATATCCAAACCTCTAGCCAATTCTTCTCCAAAGCTAGCCATTTTATCATCATCCCGGATGCACATTCAGACACTTAGCAGTGGACATATGTATCTGAATAGAGTGTGTCTGTAGTATTTGTAGGTGATATAACACAAATATTATGTTTTAATATCTTCATTGAAGGCCAGGAACCAGTGGTTCATGCCTCTAATTCTGGCTATTCTGGAGGCTGAAATCTGAGGATCCTGGTTCAAAGCCAACCTGGGCAGAAAAGTCAGTGAGACTCTTCAGTTAATCCCTAAAATGTCTGAAGTAGAGGTATGGCTAAAGTGGTAAAGTGCTAGCCTTGAGTGGAAAAGCTAAGGGACAGTGCCCAGGCCCTGAGTTCAAGTCCTAGGACCAGCACAAATGAACTAAAAAACTTGTGTTTAAAAATATATCTACAGGGCTAGGAAGGTGGCTCAGTGATAGAGTGCTTGCTTTGCATGATGAGGCCTTGGGTTCAATTCCTCAGCACCACATAAGCAGAAAAAAACAGAAGTGGCGCTGTGGCTCAAGTGAAAGAGCACTAGCCTTGAGCTGAAGAGCTGAGGGACAGTGCCCAGGCCCAGAGTTCAGGCCCTACAACCAACAAAAAACAACAAGAACAAACAAACAAACTCCCTCTCTCTCTCTCTCTCTCTCTCTCTCTATATATATATATATATTTGTACCTACAGTAAATTAATAACAATAAGATTTTTCAATAAACTGTTTCTATTGTAAAAAGAAGATGAGATTACAATTAGGAAAACAGTCAAACATGGTGATACCTACCCACCAAGTGAGCCACAATTCTACTATAAGATTAAATTTCAATAAAATGACAATCTATCACCATACAAAAATTTACATAAAGATCCAATGAAGCATAGTGCAAAATGGTCATAAATAAAATAACCAAATGTGTATCAATTGATGAATAAAAGAATATGGTAGAATTCAGTATTGTTTGGCCATAGAAAAAAATGAACCTTGGAACAATGCCTATGATCCTAGCTACTTGGGAGACTGAGGGTCACAGGTTGGAGTATGGGTCACATAGCAATAACCAATCTCAAAAATACAAAAACAAAGTACCTTTTAAGAGAAGTAAAGCCTATGAACGATACATCAAATGACAAAAGCCAGTCACAGAAGTGTATTATATGAAATATTCAGTTAAAGGAAATGTGTAAGTTAAAAATAAAGATTCAGGGCTGCAAAGGTAACTCAGTGGTAGAGTGCTTGCCTTGCATGCAGTGAGGCACTGGGTTCAAATCCTCAGCACCACATAAGCAGAAAAAGTCGGAAGTGGTGCTATGGCTCAAGTGGTAGAGCGCTAGCCTTGAGCTGAAGAGCTGAGGGACAGTGCCCAGGCCCAGAGTTCAGGCCCCATGACTGACAAAATGAAAGAAAGAAAGAGAGAGGGGGGGAGGGAGGGAGGGAGGGAGGGAGGGAGGGGGGGAGGGAAGGAAGGAAGGAAGGAAGGAAGGAAGGAAGGAAGGAAGGAAGGAAGGAAGGAAGGAAGGAAGGAAGGAAGATTCATAGATGCCTAGAACCACAAGAGATGTAGGTTGGAGGATGGCAGCAACAGGAGGAGAGGCCTCTTGTAGCTGTAGTTAAATGATGACGATAATGGTTGTACAACTGCAAATATGCCAAAAGTCAATGAATAGTAAACCTTCTACAAGTTAATAACGGGACACATGACTCATCTCAATAAAACTCTCTTAGAAAACCAAGAGTCTTCTCCATGTGTCAGCATATGCTTTCTGATGAAAACTGGAAGCTTTACAGCAATGATTGTGTAGATATGGTTCTT